GGTGAAAATTTTTACCACAGACTCAGTGAATGATGGGCAACAAAATGCACCTTTTAGATTTTCGATAGGATCACTTTCATTTTCTTTTATGAATTGTACAAAAAAGTTGCAATTGAGTCATATTCTACTCCTCTGGAAACATATAACTTTTGTCATTGATGTAGGAGTAGTGCCGAAAATCTAACGATTAGAATTTTACTTAAAAATAGTCAAAACATTTAAAACCTGCGAGGATTTAATCGTCATCTTTAAGCATAACCCACCATTTGTTCGAGCGGTACTTCGAGTGCTCGAAAATATGCTTTCGATGAGCACTCGGCGAGGGCCTATTTTCGAGTACTTGCCGCGCCCCTCGAACGACTTTTTTCATCTATATGGCTAAAAGGAATATAACTGAATAGATAAAGGCTGTTTAAAAAAGTGAATAAACATGTATGTATAAAACTGACTCAGAAATTCAGGGCTCACGAGAAAAGACTCAAGGTTGGTAGAAAAAGTGAAGTTATGATGGTAATGCTTGCTTTCTGTACTGTTCTTTTTCCCATTTTTCCTTTGAATTCCTTCTGGATAAATCCTTAAGAATACAGATCTGACTGTGTTATGTAATTCGGCTCTTTGTTCGAATTCGCTGACGATCATTTGAGGCGACATTGTCATGCAGATTTTGCAAAAGTAAGGTGGGAGTTTAAGCATCTCTTGTAACAGTTATGGCTTATCTCAACAGGAAAAATTTTTCAAAAAATTACGGGTTAAGTACGCCCGTAAATTATTTTTGCAGGACAGACGGGTTCAGATCAACATTATTTGCTCTCAGGCTTACGGGCTCGCTCCAGACAATAGAAAAGTTTATCCCGTAGGGCTCTATAATCATCTGACACAATGATCTTTCGAATGCCATTAAATGTATCATGCATCAGTTTATATGAGAACAAATCTTAATTGCTCAATATGCCTTCCTATTAGCAGCCATGACTCTACAGTGCTTAGATGTTAACATGTAGACAAAAAAATAGCAAAAATCAGTACTAATAAGTAGGAGATTGTTGTTGTTCGGACGATCGGATGAGCAAAATTTTGATGCCAATTTCAACACCAGGGCACAAAAAAGTTCTTGCTTCGCGACCGTGACCTCGATAAGTGAAACAATGACATAAGTACCGTATTCGGATTAAAAAAAGATATTTTCGGGTTTCCATTCAGGTTTGCTATCACGCGCAAATGATCATTAACGAGTAGAGATATAAAAAAATAATCATAACTTTTCGAAAACCTCGAAGAATGTAAAATTTGCTTTTTATTTCAGTTTTGACCGAAAATGAGCAACAGAATCGTTTTCAACAGTATTTAAACGGCGAAAAAGATCAAGAACAATCTTTCACAACAAGCGAAAAAAGCTTAATTGTTTCGGATTTAACGGATGGAAAAAATCAGAATACATTCGGTCGTTTTGACTTTCAACTGGCAGTCACAACAGCCCAAAATATAAACTATTGTACAGCAGATAGTGATTTCTTGTACGGTTTTGGTTCAAAAACTCATGACATGAATGATAGCGAGAGTGATGAAGATGAAACTAATCGGACGTCGATTGATAGAACATTATTTTTGAATTATGATGCTGATAAACGAAAAGAAGGTGTAGAGTATTCACCATTATTTGAATTACATTTAAAAGTAGTTGACCTATCATCATGCATTCTCATTATAAAAATACAACAAAAGCAGCAAGAACCGCCAGCATTCGCAACAGCAATAGCAAAAACACAGAAATTTACAATTCAGTTCAGTAAAGATCTGAATTTGGAACCGATTCGTCTTCGATATAAATTGGAACGGCTAAATGAAAAGATTAAAGAAATATTCAGCGATAAAAAGTTGGATTCAAATGATTATGCTTTGATCGATAGTGAACAAATCATAGTCGATTTTTTGTCAACAATCACTAAACAAGTTTCATGTGATTATCAAATTATTGAAAAATCATCTTTGTTGAATGTCAATTTCTACTATTTAACGAAAAATGAGCAATTTCAATATACAGCGAAGCATGAGACAGATATTTTTACAATAGTCAGTCGTCTGATCGATGACGAAAAAATAAGAGAAACATCGTTTTGCTTAATCGATCAGTTAGGTCAAATTGTTGATGGTGGATCAATTTGTGATATTTATCGTACAGATACGACTGTACACATTTCAATAATAGATGAAACAATCAATAATCTGTGTCAAGTTACAGTCATATCAAAACAAGGTTAGGCAAACACTGACCTTCGGTATCTAAAAACTGAACTATAGTCAAAACGCCTTAGTTTAGCAAAATTCCGAAATATTAATACATCGAGAAAAGTAGAAATATTTTTTCAAAGAAAATTTTGCCGAATAAGGCATTACTTTAAACAATGTATTTCTTATTGTAGCAGCTGAAATATTATATTACGATATTGCAACGCATTGTGCAACACACATAGTGCAACTTGATTTGGTGAAAACTTCAGTTGGAAACTCACTTTCTGTAGTTCTTTAATCGTTGGAGAGAAAGTTTTTCTCGTGTATTTTCGACTTAATTTCTGACGAGGGAAGTACCCCAACTGATATATCGCTTTGTGAACGGAACCTAGTGGACTATAGGTAGTCGACGATGCTGATTCCGAATATCACCATGAATGCTGCTGCTAGGCCTTCAAAGATCGGTTTTCTGAAAAACAAGTTTTCGAGAAACTCTAAAGA